GTATATGGTATGTGGTATTTTGGGGGAACTCATTAAGCTTTATGCTTACGGTTTATGTTTAAAATGTTTTTCAGGTACTCCCGGTTCGCGAGGGATTGGCCCGGTTTGATCGCAGCGCATCCACCCATGTTTTCGCACTTTATGATTTTGGGAATTGTACTATGATAACTATTACTCTGATATACTTTTGAATGATTGAAAGGGTTAAATGATTTTTATGGTTGAACTAATAATGAAATTTTTACCTTATGAGTTTTAGGATGTTACATGGATGTTTTTGTTAATGGTAAATGGTCATCTTGGATATTTTAAGCTTTGTCACTTACCTTAAAACTTTGTTTCTATATTGGATGCTAAAGGTATTGAGTGGTATATTGCATATGTTGCTATTTGGATCATAAATACTACATTTTCATTAAATTGAACACCGACTGAAAACACCACATTCTGATTACACAACACATTGTTATTAGATTTGAAGGTTTTTTCATAATACAAATAGTCAAATACCAATACAAAATACACATAACAAAAGACAAAGAACTTCATTACAGAACCTATACTTTATATGTAGCACCTGGTTCTTGGTACATATTTTTATTTAAGTATTTTGCATTTTTGGCCTTGGACTCGGCGAGTTGAAGGACCAACTCGCCGAGTAGAAGCGGGATGAGACGCGGGACTTAAGTGATGGACTCGTCGAGTCGGGTCCCGGACTCGACGAGTAGGCTCTGTATGGACTAAACCCTAATCTGAGGGTTTGCCCCTATTTAAACAACCTTATACAGCCTCCATCTCCCCTTTATGCTCCCAAACACCCTCTATAGAAAACCCTAGCCGTTGTTGAAGTAATCTAAGCCATTTTGGTGGATTTTGGTGTTTATAGTATTAAGAAGGAAGGAGAAAGGCTTGAGGAAACAAGAGGAGACCAGAAGGGTTCGAGTTTGTGATTCATCTTCAGTCCTCAGAAGGTATAAAGTTGCTAACTTGCTTGTTCATTTGCTAGATCCCATTTTGTGGAGATTTAGGGCTTTTATAAGCCATTTTAGGTAGCCAACCATGAATGCAAGCATGGTTGGGGACAAGGGTTCGGATCTAGGTCTTTTTGAGGGGTCACAAGGCAGAAAGTGGGTGCTTTTACACCTAAGAAAGACTCCATGCAACCCAAGAGCTTGTTTTAGGACCTTTTGGACTCAAAGTCCCATGCATGCACGTAAAGTTTGTAACTTTACGTGCTAGGACGATTGTAGGAGCCTAGATCTATCTTTTGGTCAAGAGTTGTACATCAGAAATCGAGGATTTAGAGTGTGGACTTGACCAACTCGGCGAGTCCGTTCTTGGGACTCGACGAGTCCAAGGCTTTGAGTCTCATATCTGTTGAGGGTCAAAAGGACTCAGTGGGGTATTAGAGGGGTTGTAACAAGACAGAAAGAGTGACCCAACGCATTGGACTTAATTTTAGACCTGGAGTTCATGGGACTCGACGAGTGCTAGAACAGACTCGGCGAGTCCAAGGCAATCTTCTTATGGATGAAGATGAACTCGACGAGTTGTTCATACAACTCGGCGAGTCGAAGTCAGGACTTGTTTATCTGTTGAAGATGAACTCGACGAGTGTTCATCAGACTCGGCGAGTCGGATGAAGGATCAATCGATGTTCATATCATAGAGGAACTCATCGAGTCGTCGCTAAACTCGACGAGTAGAGTCGTGGATAAGGACGAGTAAAGGGAAGGGACTCGACGAGTTGACGGCCCAACTCGGCGAGTCCGTCAACTAGAAGTTGACTTTTGACTTGGACTTGGTTGGAGGTAAAATGGTCATTTTACCCTAAGAGTAGATATCAGTTCTAACTGTGTGTTTGTGGGGATTGTAGCCGAAGGATTTCCGGAGCAGCAGCGGACGGAGGCTTCCCGCACAGATTATCAGCAGCTACTCGTACGAGGTGAGTTACCTTCCAGTAGCGGTGGGTCTACGGCCACAATGTCGGCCCACCAGTAGGAGTTGTATGTTAGATGATTGTCTTTGTGATATCATCTAGTTTTGCTACTACCTGATGTGTTATATGCTGGCATGATATGTTATATGTGATAGTAGTAGAGTTCGGTTGTTAGGACCGAAGGGTAGGTCAGACACCCCAGATATGTCTGACAGTATGTGATGATATGTTTATATGCTGGCATGATATGTTATATGTGATAGTGGTAGTAGGAGGGGAATAGTCCCCAAGTTCGGTTGTTAGGACCGAAGGGTAGTTCGGACATCCCAGATATGTCTGATAGTATGTTTATGTTATGATATATGTGATAGTAGCAGTAGGGGGTGGAATAGTCCCCGAGGGTCGGTTGTTAGGACCGACAGGTAGGTCAGCACCCCAGAATAGCTTGACACGGGTAGGTCAGCACCCCAGAATGGCTTGACACGGGTAGGTCGGCACCCCAGAATGGCCGTACCGGGTAGGTCGGCACCCCAGAATGGCCGTATCGGGTAGGTCGGGCGCCCCAGAATTGCCCGGCAGTATGTATGCTATGTGATTGTATGGTATGTGGTACGATGTGGGAACTCACTAAGCTTCGTGCTTACAGTTTACAGTTTTGGTTTCAGGTACCTCTTCAGCGAAGGGGAAGGAGCTGGCGTGGTAGCGGCACATCATACACATTCGCATTGATTTTCCGCACTTGAGATATTCTGGGATTGTACTCTGACATGATGCTATCTTATGACTTGGGTTTTCAGACATGATATATTTATGTGGTTTTCTTATGAATGCTTTTATAATCAATTAATTAAAATGAAATTTTTGGACTCAAAATTTGGGATGTTACATTATATATAAGGACTTAAACAAAAAAAAACCCAGCTAATAACTAGATAAAACTTCAATTTGCAATTTTGTTCTTCAAGTTTCATCCTATACTCCATACAATCACAGTTATGATCAAAATCACTCACCCAACCTATGAACTTGCATAATGGTCCCTGAACCAATTATAGAAGATCAAAATCATTCACCCTTACCTTTATTGTACAAGTATAGTAGAGTTTCCCAAGGTTTTTCTTGCTATAAGATGTGTGAATCACTGCAGCGGCTCCACAATTGCATTCTATATTAATCATTCTTATCGAGTTAGAAGAAATCATTGGTGAGGGAGAAGTCTATGAAGGAGACGATAGCATGGAAAGGGAGGGAGGCAGGGATGTCTATGCTTTTAAGGTGCAACGGCATTAAAAAAAAGTACGCCAACCCTGAAAAGAAAAAAACATGCCCATGCGTGCAAGGCATGTGAGGAGCTTAAATGGAAGCATTTAACGGTTAAAGTCTATAGGGACTAACCGTGCAAGAAAAAAAACAATCAGGGACGGTCCGAGTTAATTTTTGAAAATAGGGACTAAACACGTTTTTTGGCATATATATGAGGGACGATTAGTGTAATTTACCCTATATATATATATATATATATATATATATATATATATATATATATATATATATATATGTGTGTGTGTGTGTGTGTGTGTCTTTGAACCCTCTCTTTCTCTCCCTCCCCCTCTCTCTCTCTCTCAAAGTTAGTAACAAATATTGGAGATGAGTAAAGGGTCTATGTCTGAAAGCTCAAGAAATATAGACATAAAGAATGGTAAAAAGATGACACGAATGGTACCAAGGAGATGTGAAGTTATTGTAGAGAGAACCAATATTGATAAAAAATAATAAAAAATAAAAAAAAATAAAAAATAAAAAAAAAAACCACCGGATGATTTCATCAAGAACTTTAGCAACGCACCTATGATTCAACATGTTGAGTCGCTCAAATGGTTTCATGAGAGGATAAAGAGGGATACTTGAATTTAAGTACTTGGTTTCTAGAATAGTTGTTTGATTCAATTGATTGTTTTATAATTACAATAATAAAGAAAGATTTAACATCTCATCATTCTTGTACCAAATATAACAAAGGTTCTTTTTTATGGGTTTAATGTTTCAAATCTCAACAGTACGGTGTGGGAGTTCTAATTCCAATATAGATTAGATTTCTTGCATAATTTGTCTTCAAATTATATGTCTTGTAGAAGTAGTCGGCAGTCGATAGCTCTGCGACAAAGACTGGTCCCTAAAAAATGACTGAGACCGACCCGGTCAAAAACAAGATCAGAACAAAAAAAAGATCGGGCCTAAAAAAAGAACAGACTGAGATCATCTGGAACGGTTTGACAAAAACGGACCGTTCCAAGACTGACCCGAAAACGATTCGAAACTAATCTCAAAAAGACCGGAAGCCAAAATTTATAAACATATCATTTTTGTGTTAACTACACAAATTTTTAATCACGCATTACTCAACTTCTTTTCTTTTTCTTATATTAAATTTTAGTATATCATTTTCAGTAAATCTTAATGTATCATTTTTGTGTTAATCACATGTTTATTAATGGAAAATTTTGAAACATATCATTATTTTTTGCTGAAATATCATAAATTATTGCCGAAATGTCATACATTATTAAATTTTCGGTATTAAAAAACTACTTTCGGATTATAAAATTAGTTTATTTTAATTTTAATATCTGCAGCAGCATGCAGATGTTAAAAAAACAAACACCCTTTTTATTACAGTCTGCAGCCGTTTGGTCCACATCTTCTACTGCAGAGAGTTGTAGAGATTTTATGGATTTTTGCTTCAAAAAAACAAACAACACCTAATTGTGGCCATTGGGCTCTTATAACCTAGCATATTTTTGTTGCAAATAATTTTAGAAAAATAATTTAAAGTGATGCTGGCACAACGGAATACTAGAAGATAACCATTTTGTATAATACAAACATCAAGTTGGATTCAAACGTTTTTTAAAATGTAAAAGAATCAAGAAGCAATAGGTCCATAAAATAGAAGTAATCTAAATATTCATAACATGGAATCCTAAGTTCTAACCAACATGTATACACAAATCATTTCATAACTATACTAATTGGATCTTGAAAAAAAAAAATCATACCACATTTATAAAGAAAGAAGATAACGACATATACGTTCAAAGATACGGGTGTCTCCAATCTGCAACCAAATCCATGTCCTTTAACCAATCAACAGGTTTTCAGATGCCCAATGAATCAATCTTCATATATAATAATTTTTCAAACCATTGCGAAAAAAAACCCTATGCTTTCTTGAATTTAAAGATCATATTCTTTACACATTTGTAACCTGTTCTTGAACTTATCATACCTGAAGCACCTGACAATGCACAATATGACTCTTTTGCCCATTCCTCCCTGATATACTCGACCATAAATTTGTAAACAAAGTCTTTATATGCCCTTTTCCCGCAATATTCTCCCAAAGATTCGGATTACTTTCCACTTTTTTATCTTTACTCGAAACATCAACAAGACTAATACTCATATTATTCCGAATAATACACAACTTCCCATTAAGATTCACAAGAGCAGCTGCCTCCATAGCAGGCGAGCTTCCAAGATGAACTTTACTATCAATAAACTTCTTCCAAGAATTCGTATCCTCTTCATAAACCCTAATTTTACACCCATCTCGACAATCCAAAGCAAAAAGCTTCCCATTCATGGAAATACTCGGATTCCTCCACCCTGCAATCATTCCATCAGTAATTGACACCCACGTGTTTGATTCTGGTGTATACGCTTCACTCAAAACCTCTCTATGAGCCCCAAGTCCTTTCAAGAACCACTTTCCATTATAAACGACTCCAATAAAAGGCACCATTGGTGTACTCATATCTGTAATAAAACTCCATCGACGTTTATTTGGATCATAAACTTCAACAGATCGAAGAGTCCTATGAACTCCATCACATTCACCTCCCGCAACATAAAGACAATTGTTTATAACACAAGATCCAAAAAAATGTCTCTTTCTTTGCATATCGGGAGCTTTATGCCATCGATTTGTTCTCGCGTTATAAAAAACCACACGTCTCATCGAACCCTTTAAAGGATCTTTCCCGCCAAATAAATAAAGATGACAACCGCTCAAAACCGCACATCCAAACCCAAGGGCATTTTCGTAATCAACCGGGACAGGTGGAAGTGGTTGCCAAATTTGGTAAGTGGGGTCGAATGCATGCCATGAGATTCTTCCATCACGATCTCGTTTGAAGACATAAACCCATTCTTCAGCCATTCCTAGGGTTTTTCTTAGGGAGTAAAAGTAGTTACTTGATAAGAGTCTGAAAAATCTTTTGGAAACTAACCGGAGTTTGTTGTGTTCGGCTCGTGGGACCCGCGTTAGACACGCGATTGCCAGGTCATCAGGGAGACCCGGGAGGAGGGGGGGTTGGATGCGGGTCCGCTCTTTTCGGCTGTTTTTGGTTTTGTGTGCGTGTGGGTTGATGTCGGGTTGGATGCAAATTTTTGACCCGGGAACGAATTTGCGGGCCCCGGCGACTGTTTTTAATCCCGCATCGACTTTGCAATAGCATGATACGGAATCCACCTGAATCGGAAGGGCAAAATGGTCAATTACTTTAATTCAAACAGTTCATTCGGTCCAAAAAAAGTCATACAACATTTATTTGAGACGGACATCATTTATTCATTTATCCAATGTCATTTGGGCTATCTGTATACCTGATTTACATCTCACATGATACTCTGTCAGTCTGGTTGGGATGGTGTGGGCCAGCTTAGGGGTTATTCGAAGAATAACCTTTTTTTTTAAGGACAATGAGAATTAGATAATAGGCTATAAAAGAAGATGGTGAGTGTTTGGATGTGTTTTTGTAGTTTGAAGTTGTAAATATGAACTTTGGCAAATTTTAATTATTTAAGAAACTAATTGGTAAATTGAGGATAAATGAAGGGCATATAGTTTTTAACTACACTCTTCGATAGTAATTTGACCCCTAAATAATTAGATAATCATAAGCAGAATTAGGTTATACAAATACTTTAAGTATAAACTATTTATAAGAAAAAAGAACATGTCATAGATGACAATTGGGAGAAACAAATAGTTTTTACTCATAATTTAGCAAATGTATTCTGTTTTTGTAAAGCAGAATTAACAAACAGACAACAATTAGTACTACATTTTTAAGATCAACAAAACCTTGTTAAACGAAAGCACATTTAACAGAATTCCTGCTATAAATAATGTCTAAAACTCTTTATATCTTGCACATTGTATGACTAATTTCATCTGGAAATTGCTATACAGTATACACTACTCCACAGATGATATAAAGAACCAATACCCATAAACTAAGGTCAATGATTCTTGAAAAAAAAATGTTCATTTCATCGTAATTGCATATGGGTACCTCTCGATACTTGTAATCTACCCAAAGATTATGTAAAGAAACAAAACCCACAACCTAAAATCAACAATTTTATAAAAAAAATTGTTCATTTCATCATAATTCCATCTGGGTATCTCTATATACTCGTAAACTACTCGAAGATGATGTAAAGAATCAAAACCCAAGAAATTCAATGCATATAATGTCAATAATTGTTAAAAACAACTGTTAATTTGAGCACAATTTGATGTGGGTACCATCTATATAGTAACGAAGTACAGAAACAATAAGCAAGAAAAAGTCAAAGAAGACATGGGGCTCACCAATGGAGCTTGAACTCGAAACCCCCTTCGCTGCACATTAGGCGACCTTTCACGTTCAGATAATTGAGCCATCTCGCTCACAATTCCAGTAATTTCATATAAAGAAATTCAATTTCTTTTCGTATGATAAACCCACAAATCAAATAATCAAGAAATACATGGTGTTTCAGATCGATAATCGACAATCTTGAAATCTGATCCAAAGATTAAGGTATTTCAGAAAGAAAAAAGGAACCCCAGTACCCAAAAAATGACTTTTTTTCTTCTAAATTTAGATGAAAATGTAAAGAAAGATGTGTGTGTGTGTGTGTGTTTTTTTGTTGGTGCTTGAAAGTAAGAGCTTTGCAGAAACTTCAAAAACTTGAGAGTGTTGTTTGGTGTGAAGTGAAGAGAGTCTAACTTGATTAAGTGGGGAATTACATCTGGAGACGTGTTGATTTTGTTGTCAAGAAAGTGGAACATTCATTCATATGAATATCATCATCATATATTCATATGTGAATTTTGACTCTCAATTGGGATATTATTGTTTTAGAGTGATTTATTTCTATAACTATTAGATTTAGATTTTTTTGTTGTTGTCAAATAATGATTATGTTTCCAAAAATATCATATATGGGGAATGATAGATTTTTGTCTATAAATAAATAAAAAAATGTATGTATATTTCTTTTTTGTGAAACTAATTATTCTTCTAAAACATACTATTTATTTTGTATTTTCTAAAAATGGTGATTAATTTATGACAAAACAAACGGTATGGCATAACTAATTATATTTTATTATGTAGAATTTTTTAATTTTCTTGGTTGTAGATTAAGACATTTGATCTTACCATAGTAAAATACAATTTAAATGACATGTTTTAAGACAATAATTTTATCAACTTAAATGATACTTTTTTATATAATCTTTATATTTTTTTCTGCATATATGTTGACAAAAAAGTGCATATATGTTGACAAAAAAGTGCATTTTTTAGGCTAGAAGGTTAAAAAAAACAATAATGAATTGAATGCAAAATATTTATTTTTTCTAAATTTGGGATATATGATGAGATATCCTTTTAAATGAAATGATGTAAACTCTTTTTTTTTCAGACAAGAAATCTTTTGCAATGGTTATATTATAGAAATAAATTTTACTAATACCTTATAAACAGTATTATATTTCAAATTTACCATTTCTTAAGATTTTTATGCGATTTAGATGTCAATAATTATGAAATCAATAAGTATGAACAAGTAAATGTTTCGGTAAGTATGAACAAGTAAATGTGAAACATGATATATTTTATAAAGTTGAGCTTTAGAATCATGTGTGATTAAGATTAAGATTAACGAAATTGTAGTTAAAAAATATGATAAATTATGTAAAAGTCGTTATATTTTGATCATTTTAATGTTTTACCACTACAATATTTTACTTTGGTGACAAAAAAAAATTTCAACCATGTGGACCTCCTATAATAGATAAAAGTGATCACTATAAATGTTATAAAAATTCTATTAAATTATGACGGTGTTAACATGTCATAACACATGTTATAACAGGTCAATGAATGTCAAAATAGTCGACATAGAAAATTATCAGATTTGAATGACTTTTATTTATTAAAGAAAAATATAATAGTTACACTATAAAAAGAACCAAAATATATTGAAATTTATGTATTTTGCCTAAAAAATACTAATCTTTGATTAGGCTAATTAATATAGCTTTGTTAAGGTCAAATATTGAATTGCCGGCCGCTGGTTATATTTTTTTTTTTTCCTACAACTTGATTCATCAAAAGTTAAATATCTTAAATGCTATTTGATAAAATTATAAAATATAGAAACTTAATGAACTACAACAATATTTTATAATATGATTGATCAAAAGGTAAAGGTATGTATAACAGATATCTGTTTCTCTCAAAACATGATTTACTTTATTTACTTCAAAACGTCTAAAAAAACGTTTTATTTGTTCCGAGTCAGAAAAACCAATTTCAAAGTTATTTTGTTTTTTACCACATAAACAACTTACTACATTATCGTTTCATGTCGATTCGTCCCACAAATTTTCATGAAAATCTTAAACGGATTCTGTAGCAGATAGATTTTTCGTATTTATGTTTTAAAGTCAAATATAACGGCACCCTTCGATTCTTCTTGTTTTTTTGATGCAAAACAGCATCCACTCATTGTTTATCGTCGTTATATAATTAATCCCAACATTCCAAGCATAACCAGAATTTTACAAACTACCTAATCCGTCATTAACTTTTTTGTTCATGCACAAATTGAAAAAATTGTCCAACTCAAAATAACACTCTGCTGCGGTTTTGTGGATTAATTTGTGGGTTAAAAAATCACTATATTATAAATTTTGTAATTGAACATTGTCATTCAAGTTTGACAACTGTTTCTATGTCGATCACTAAATATGTTAGGTAGTAATAGTGTAATATAAAAAGTTGTCAAATTGTTCATATAACATGTCAAGCGATTGACATTGTCAATCTTAGGCTGTTTTTATTTGATTAACCTACAAAAATGATCAAAAACATACTTTTTTTGTAGTTTGCCCACAAAAGAACAACTAAACAAGTGCATCATAACACTATAACTCAATATGGAAGGAAAAACTTTAATCTGTTAACATGAAAACAATATCAGTTTTAATTATATTTAATCGATAACATTTTAAAAATATCAAATGCCACTCATTAGATAACCAAGCATTGTATCGATGTATCAACTATTTAATTAAAAAAAAAAAAAAGAACATTAAATATAGCTTTTGAGTAGATATTTTACAATAAATAGACATCACCAACCTACATTAACTTCTTTCTCTCAACAACACCAAACCGACACTTCTTTACTACACAATACGTCTACCTCTTAATTTCATACCAAAATAAAGACCTTTCTAACAACACAACCAGAATAATAATAACAATAAAAAAAAAACATTTAAAAACAAGCACACTTTCATTTTTAAACCATAAACAAGGCTCTGCAGAAAAATAGCAACACAAAAGCCGCAAATAATCTACAGACCCTCAACTCGGGTTGCAGAAAATAAAAAAAATAAAAATACGTTTTTATCATCATCGTATACATGCCACGTCATCACCCACCCACCACAACCCATCAACCACCAAATTTTAACCCTACTCTGTTAGTAGAAGAAGAAGAGACCACTATCCTCTAAACCCAACTTCACCCATCAAGGGTTAAAAAAGTAAATTACACCAAAACAACTATTATAATAATAATAATAATCATAATAATAATACTAATATTAATCCCAAGCACTCGCAACACCGGGATTATAACCACCACCACCACCACCATAACCACCGCCGCCACCACCATATCCGCCGCCATAAGCTCCACCGTAGCTGTTCATGTTCCCGCCACCGCCGCCATAATAATCTCCGCCACCGCCGCGGTTGAAATTGGAATCTCGCCGGAAATCACGACCGCCGAAGCGGCCACCGCCACCACGGCGGTTCTTGCCGCCGCCGTAGGAAGCGCGGGCGGCGTAGCGGGCGAGCCAGGCGGGGACTTCTTGGTTGGCTTCTTGCATGAGGTCGGAGAGGGGGCGGGCCATGGAGGAGTTGTTGTCGTTGAAGAAGGCGGTGGCGAGACCGGATTTTCCGGCGCGGCCGGTTCTTCCGATCCGGTGGACGTAATCGTCGATGTCGTTCGGGAGGTCAAAGTTGACCACATGGGCCACGTGTGGGATGTCGAGTCCACGTGCTGCTACGTCTGTTGCCACTAGAATTGGTGTGTTTCCACTTTTGAATGATCTTAACGCTTGTTCGCGTTCCTACAAGGGTAAATTGGTCATTTTTTATTTACTAAAATGAAATTTTTTTTAAAATATAAATAAATAAATACCTGTTGTGTTCTATCACCATGAATAGTGGTTGCAGGGAAGCCATTCATGCATAACCAATATTCCAATGAATCAGCTCCTTTTTTTGTCTCCACAAATACCAATGTAAGAGCTTGCTGAAAAAACATTAAACATTATTACATTATTAATCAATGGGAGAAAAATTAGAATTTTTTTTTTTAAGAAAGAAAGATTGAAAAACGGGTTAATATCATAAAAAACCTTATACATTGGTTTTCTTTGGATTATAGCACAAACTTAAATTTTCTTAGAGGCCTATATTTTGTGTTTTTCTGGATTAAACCTCAATTTTATTTTATTTTATTTTATGAAAAAGACCTTGCATTTTCTTTTCATTTTTTCCAATCTTGGACCTTTTAGTCATTTTTTTTTTAAAAAAAGTTGTAAAATGTGAGGGTTTTTTCAGGAAAAACTAAAAAAGTTGAGGATTTATTTGGAAACATCTAGAAGGTTGAGGGGTTTTTTTTCCAAAAAGACAAAGTTGAGGGTTTTTTCAGAAAAAATGAAAATATATAAGGTCTTTTTCATGAAAAAAAAAAAAGAGAAGGTTTATTTAGGAAAAAATACATCTTTTATGAGATTTAACCCTTTTTCCTAAAAAGAGCTTGCATTTTTTAATTTTTTCCAATTTGGCCCTTTTAGCAAGTTTACCGGAAATTTTCCGGGTTTAGACAATTTTTTTCCCGAAAAAACCCCCAACTTTTCTTTTTCCCAAAAAGTCCTCAAATGCGACGGTTTTTTCATTTTTTTTTTTAAGTTGAGGGATTTTCCACAAAAAAATTGTCTAAAACCGGAAAATTATTAGTAAACCTGCAAAAAGGTCTAATTGCAAGAACTTTTTAGGAAAAAGAATCAAGTTGAGGTTTAATTCGGAAAAAACACAAAACACAGGGTCTTTTAGTAAAATATTATACTAAAAAATACCTTTCCATGAGTACCATTGGCCCTTTGGGCATGAAGAAGGTCCATAAGGTGGCTTCTTTTGTCACTTTCTTGTACATATTCAACTCTTTGCACAATCAAAATCAGTACTTGATCCAACTCTTCCCACAGCCAAAAATATGTAGTTTGCAAGAAAATCAGAAGCCAATCTCTACATCATAATAATATACATGTCATCATTAAAAACTTCTTTTTCTTTTTCAGAATTAAATTAACTTCGCCAAAAAAAAAAAACCTGAATCTCTTTGGGGAAAGTAGCACTGAATAGCATTGTTTGTCTGACACCTGGCGGGGGCATGTCCATTTGTTGGACAATTTTCCTGATTTGTGGTTCGAATCCCATATCAAGCATTCTATCAGCTTCATCCAAAGCTAAATATCTGATAAACTGTAATGACACTCTTGCCCTTTCTAGAAGGTCAACCAATCTCCCAGGGGTAGCAACAAGAATGTCAACACCCCTCTCTAGCTCTCGAAGCTGTCAACAAATACAAAATTATATTACACATGATAAATAGTGGGAGTGTGGGACCCATCAAAAAAAACATATAAACAAATTAGACTCATATACCCTTATGTGAATTTTTGTATGTTTGTATGTTCTTGAATTGGAAAGAAAGAAAAAGTGTAATGTGAATGAGTAATTCAAACATGTTGTTTGTTATGTACAGTTACAAAAGTAGATGAAACTAAATTGATAAATAAACAGAAAAT